GTAAATAAAAACATATCTAACCGTAAACAACATGAAATTTAAATTAACTATAAACAATATTAAAAACAATTATTTTTATTTATGTTTTAAGCATTCAATAATAAAATTTTTGTCAAAGATCAACAAATTTTTCTTTTTATTTGTTTTACTTCTAACAACTAGCATACTGTCATTACTCTTCTCTCCTCCTATTAGCTTAGAGTATAAAATCCACTAAATGGCCCACAGAAAGCATAAAGTGAGTAAATTGAGTGCACTCAGAATTAGAAACGGTCGTAAAAGCTCTTCTCAGAGCGCAACTGTGCTATTTCGCAAAAACAAGTTCACTCGTTTGAGAATTGTTATACGCCAGAGTGGAAGGGGAAGCTCATATGCAAATTTCGTTTATTGCTTGATTCCGTTGCTTTGGTCATCTGGGCAGCTGAGAGCGTTTGCATATGTAGTGCGAGCAGTGCAAAGAGAGTGCGCATAACAAATATCTAGCTTATCTGCTCTAATTTGTTATTGTATTGGTGCGAGTGCTCGCTCAACTTAGATTCGCGATTGAGAAATTCTGAGCGTAGATCAATGTATGTGTGTGTGAGAGAGGACATTGCTTGTGAGCATGAATGGAATAGTGGGAATGAAGAGCATAGCATAGCTATGCATAGGTGGAACTAAAATTTGTAAGAGTCTGTTTAGTCTGAGTGCGACTGCGCTGTGTAGCGGTTCAATGATGATTGTGTGTCTAAGAAGTGTGCTAAATGTGATTAATAGTAACTCAACTTATAATTGTGTTTTATTGCTTTGGCAACTATTTTATTTTTGCCAATTATTAGCATGTAACACACAACATTTTCTATAATATCTAACAACAGACTTAAGGTAAATTTTAATAATAATTAAATAGTTCGTGCCTAAAAAAACATTCCTGCAAAACTATCGCTTAGCTTAGCAACGCGCTCATCTCTATTGTTCACAGTTCAATCTGATTGAATAATGACTGCTTCACAAAGTGAGAGGCTGTCAGCTGCTGACACTAATAGTGTTGGTAAATGCGGCAGACTGGGGTGCTTTGTCTTTTTCATGGGGGTGGCTATGGCTGGGGCTCTGCCTGTGTCTGTGTGTAGCTGCCCATAATCTGCAGCACCCGCATCGAGTTACACTTTGATGCGATTTTACATTTTTAATGGCTCGAATGTCACGACAAATTATGATGTATTTGGCGCCAGTGGGAGCTAGCGTCGCCAGACGCCAGACGCCAAAAAGCCAACCTCTTACACAAGTGTGAAATGGCAGCTGCCGATAACAGCGCAAATGCCCTTGCCACATTGCCCCACCATCTCATTGCCTTTCCCTTTCTCCGTCGCACTCTGCGCCATAGTTTTTTGGCCATTGCACCTGCTCGCTGACTGCACTCGGAGTTACGCTCGAAGAGGCAGTTGGCTGCCAGCTAATAGAAAATTTAAATGCCATCTCCCGGCAACTGGGAAACTCTGAAACTTGATGTGCTGCAACAATCTAAGCAAAGTTCATAAACTTGGCCAGGCCAAAAGTTTCGAAAACTTATAGTTGCCTTAATTATTATTTTGCTTTTATTTTTGTATTTTTTAGGTGCACTGAGAATATGCTGTTACATATTTATGCATATATATGTATGTATGTGTGTGTGTGACTGTATATAAATTTGTTGCAAGTTCGTTGCAGGTCATTGAGGCAAATGTTGATTCTTAAGAGTTCATGTGGAACAAAATTATGTGGCTGCTGTGGACAGATTTGCCATGGAGAGAGAAAGAGAGAGAGTGAGTGAGAAAGAGAGAGAGAGTGAGAGAGAGAGAGAGAGACGGGGAGAATGAGAAACGTCCTATATTAAAACTCTAGCTGCAGGTCAAGTTGCATCGCTTAACCCAGAGGTTTAGCTTTTAGTTTGTTTCCTTTGTTATTTCAAGTTTCAATTAGCTGGGGCAAATTTGACTTAAGGGTTTAAACTTCAAACTGAACTACAAAATTAGAAGTTAAGGAAAATTAGAAGTTAAGGAGCAAGTGTCATCATTTTGGTCGAAAGAAAATTCAAAATGTGGGAAAAATAATTATATATGTGATTACAGTAGTTTTTAACAAACAAATTTGGAATGCTCTGAAGGTATAAAGAATATTCAGAGCAATATATTTTCTGTTAATTAGTGATTTCTGTTGCTTTAAAAATTTAAAATTTCCGTATGTATGTACATAATAATTTAATATATTTTAAAGACAATTCTTATTACTAAGCTCAGCATAAATAAAACGAATTAAAACACTACAGCTTAACTATGTACATATATAATAAAATATAATATTAAAAAAATTTTTTGCCCTTTAATAAAAAATTTATTTCTATACAAAAAAGAAATTTTATTATTATTATTATTTATATTATTATTATTAATTTATAAATTTATTTTATTTATTTATTTATTTTTTTTTTTTTGTGAGCTTTTTATCGAGGTTAAACATGTTTTTTCTAATATTCTTTCAAATAATATTCAATTAAAATAATTTGAAATAATATACAATATTATTTATGAATCATTCATTCGAACTACAGCCGCTGCCACACCTTCCTTGAGTATTCGCCCAGCATTCGCTCAGTTAGCTGTTCACTTCTGCTGCTCTGCTCCCTGTGTGTGGAGCAGCCAATCATTTGGTATTTCGGTTCACATTTGCAGCTCCGTTGTTCGCTCATCAAACTCTGAGCTCCGGCATCGCATGCGAACACCTTGTGCTGTGGCTGGTGTAAATCACGCTTCTAGCTGGACGTTCGCTTGACACAGACACAGCTTGAGTATCTGTGGCAGGGCAGGTGGCATGCATGTTGCATAAACAAGGATTAAACAAAAGAAGTCAGTGGTCCAACGGTTGGCCCACACTCGCATGCTGCGACCCTCAGCAGTGCAGCAGCAGCACAAGGCAAATATTTGCCGTCGTGTGCCGCCTCGACAAGGACATCAGTCGAGGGACGCCATTTCCCTGCCAGAGTGTCTCTCTGACTGAGTGTGTGTATGAATGTGTGTGTGTTGGTGTGTGTGCTGCTTTTTACTTTGTGTGCCACTCACGTTGTGCTCGTTATTCATATTTATTGTACACGTTGCCAGTGCCACCGAGAAGGACCCCTTCATGAGTCCTGGACGAGTTGCATGCTTTGCTTCTCCTGCTGCTTCTCCCGCTGCTCCTGCTGGTGTTGTTGTAGGCGTGCGTTCGTGTCTAGCAGCAAAAACTTTGCAATTACAGTTATTTGATGGGATTTACACCCACTCATACACACACACACATACACTGAAACACCTCGAATCCTTTCGCCTGGGTTATACAATGCGGGTGCTGCCGGTTTGGACATTCATTTGCTGCCTCAATTTTACAGTCTTGACGCGAGCGAAGCAAGTGAACGAGCGTACGGGCGCGGCCAGCAGGAGGCTCTGCAAGCAGGAAGCGTAAAGTGGTGTTAAATGACAGGGAATTATAAAAGAGGATAAAGTAGTTTTATAGGTTCTTAACGGAAAAGTACGAAAATAAATTTGCACTTGTAGAGGAAGCCAATAATGCTAAGATAGTTAATGAATATCGAGAGAAATAAG